TCTTCTCAAACCTTGTCTGTGGTGTAAAAACACCCCTGGCCAAATGCCCCCAGAGGGCATCACCTCCCACTTTGATAATTACTGTAGTTACCATGTTCTGAACATCACATCCTTTCTTTTTCCCTTAGATGTAATCTATCTAGGTTATTGAATAAAAATATTTGGACTATTTTTAAAAAATTACCTCAATTTAGCACCAGCAAACTCGTTAGCTAGACAGTTAGCATCAGCTAACATTATTGACTTATTTTCAGCATGGCTATGAATAAACATTTGTCTACTCGGCTAGTTGATCCAGATACATAGTAACTTAGGCTATGTGTGCTGACAAAAAAAATAAAAAAACAGACGTCACATAGGGCTAAATTCATAGCATTTTAGTAAAACTGCTAACGTTACAGCAGCGGGGAAGATGAACGTGCATGAATTATTTTATTTAATCTGTGTTATTTTAATGTTTTTTGACCTAAAACATAGAGACTCTGATGTTAATGTGTCTGCATTCAAGACTTAAACAGATCACCCTTTACAGCAGATTTAGTTCACAAACAACTGTTAATCCTAAAATTCGACATTATAACTTACTTTTAACAGCATCAGACGCGCTCGCGCTCACAAGATCTCCTGGTTGTTACTTGTGAATTCAGTTCACTGGAGACTCGCACTAAACGGTTCATTTGAATCAGTGAGTTGTCGACTGCTGCAATCGGATCATTCCAATTCGTGAATGAATCGTTTGGTGCGATTTGCGAACCGATTTAACGGGTTCAATGAAAAGAATCAGTTCGTTCATGAATCAGACACTGCTTCTGCGTCTGGAGCATGTGATATATTATAAGGAGTAACGATAAGTTTGATGAAATGTAGTGAAGTAAAAAGTACGATCTTATGCTTTGAAATGTAGTGAAGTAAAAGTAAAAGTTTCTCAAAATAAAACTACTCCAGTAAAGTACTGATACTTGAAAAATGTACTTAAGTACAGTAACGAAGTAAAACTACTTCGTTACTGTCCACCACTGGTGAAGAATACACTCTTTGTGAAGAGCTAAGGAGCATGTCCACTTGACTTTCAGTGTAAAGGTTTCCGTTTAATCAATAGTGTTGCTTATCAGACATTAGCTGGATATATAATGTATAAATGTGTTCATGTGATGTGAATGTTCCCATGCTTTAACTGTAAATAATGTACTCTTTGTTAACTGCTTAAAGAATTTGAACACATGCAGAGCATAAAGTCTCCTCGGGGCCTTCATTAAGGAGATTATGAATTTATGAGGGTTATGAAGCTGTTTATGAAGTTGACTGTTTCTCACTGTGGGTTCTGGCAGACTTCAAGAATAGCTTGGAAACAGCAGCTTACACTATAATATTACAATTTACACACAACAAACAAGACAGAAAAGCTGACCTTACCTGAGAAAACAAACACACACACAGAGAGAGAAACTACAGATCAGAAGGGTCATCAGACATCATCTTTATACAGGCATGTTTACAGTAAATACATAAACAGGACCTGTGTTGGTGTGATAGGAGTCATGTCTGATTTAGGATGTGCACAGAAATCATCTGCGAGCTGTGAAGACTGTTTTTGCATGCTTTAAACCAAAGATACATGTGCATCTACACACTACCGTTCAAAATTGTATTTTATTTTTTAAAAGAAATCAATACTTTTATTCAGCAAGGATATATAAAATTGATCAAAAGCGACAGTATGACATTTATAATCTTACAAAAAAAAATCGTATTTCAAATACAGGATGTTCTTTTGCTAAAAAAATTATTACAATGTATTTCCACAAAATAAAGCAGCACAACCATTTTCATCATCATCATCATCATTATTGTTATAATTATTATTAACAACAACAACAACAACAACAATAAATAAGAATAATAATAAATCATTACATGACTCAGCGCTCTCAAGTTCACATCAGTCCTGTCCCATTCACACAACCAATGACATTTAGCTGTCGGTGAGACATTCGTTACATTAGTCAGTGCCAAAACACACAATTTTTTTCCATAAATAAACACTTTTATGAGATCATATTGATCAGATGCCTAGTTAGGAAAGAGTTTCTGATAGGCTAGTGTCCTTCATGGGTCGTTCTGGGGTTACAAATTTAAGTCTGCTTAGTCTGAGTGACACTGAGGTTGGTGCCAGGCCCAAATTGGAAGAGAAAAGCCAGATGAGGATTTCTGTACACGCTTGAGAATGGAAAGCTGGAGGCCCATCAAAAAACACTGTCCTACTCTCAAAGCTAAAGAATGTATAAATACATACTTTGTTATATACAATTTCTGTAACATAAATACATTTCAAATTAAATAAACTTATTTACATTATATGTACATTCAAACTCAAAAACTCTTTATACAAACAAAATCACAAGTATGACAATATATAATTAATTATGTAAGAATATAAAATAAAATAAAAATGAGTTTATCTTTTAGATAGATAAAAGCAAATAAATATATGTATAAAAACACTTAAAATATACAGTATATAATACTGTATATGCATTTTTAGTCATATGAATTATATGAATTATACTTCCTGACAGCCAGAGGGAAATTGCTTGGTTTAGACAAGTAGGACATTAAATGCTCAATGTATTTTAAAGATGAAGCCCTGTCCTGTAAATGGCGACTGTGACTCATAGCTATGAAGGTGACCTGCTGAAATTGCTCTCTTCATTAGAGCAATATGTCTCTTAAAATTACTTTAAGAAAATCAATAGCCATACTTCAGCATTATAATGTTTGCACGGTGACAGCTGGATTTGTTGTTGGCTGGTTTGCATTGACTGTGGAGCCTGTGTTGGTCTTCTTTAGGAACTTCAGGTGTACAAAGAGTAAAATTATTTTTGGGATTGCCAAAAATTCATTACATATTATATCAAAAATATAATCGAGGTGCTAAGTGAACCCCTGTCCCAAATGTTTAATTGAAGTAGACTTTGAAGCATCCTTGAGGTCCACAGGACCATAAAATATCCCATTTGTCACTTTGTGTCCGTTATGCATCCTCAATGCATTTTTTAAATTAAATTTCAAAAGTCAAAGCATTAATTCACTCCCTTGTTGCCAGAGAACAAGTTTGGGAGAGCATGGTTGAGAATCAGCCATCTTCGCAACCAAAGCAAGACTATGAGCTTCAGCATGGTGTGGTAAATCTATAAACAAATGGATGCATGATCTCTGAGCTTGTTCAAGAAAGAACGCACCTTTTAACATAAGCGATGCGTTTTCTCTCTGTTTGCTGCTTTGTGTTTCACCGCAGGAGATGTGGCGATGGCTTGTGGTATAAGGTCAGCTGAAATTGCTCTCTTCATTAGAGCAATATGTCTCTTAAAATTACTTTAAGAAAATCAATAGCCATACTTCAGCATTATAATGTTTGCACGGTGACAGCTGGATTTGTTGTTGGCTGGTTTGCATTGACTGTGGAGCCTGTGTTGGTCTTCTTTAGGAACTTCAGGTGTACAAAGAGTAAAATTATTTTTGGGATTGCCAAAAATTCATTACATATTATATCAAAAATATAATCGAGGTGATAAGTGAACCCCTGTCCCAAATGTTTAATTGAAGTAGACTTTGAAGCATCCTTGAGGTCCACAGGACCATCAAATATCCCATTTGTCACTTTGTGTCCGTTATGCATCCTCAATGCATTTTTTAAATTAAATTTCAAAAGTCAAAGCATTAATTCACTCCCTTGTTGCCAGAGAACAAGTTTGGGAGAGCATGGTTGAGAATCAGCCATCTTCGCAACCAAAGCAAGACTATGAGCTTCAGCATGGTGTGGTAAATCTATAAACAAATGGATGCATGATCTCTGAGCTTGTTCAAGAAAGAACGCACCTTTTAACATAAGCGATGCGTTTTCTCTCTGTTTGCTGCTTTGTGTTTCACCGCAGGAGATGTGGCGATGGCTTGTGGTATAAGGTCAGCTGGCGAGAGCTGTATCCTGACATCCCAATACCCACAAGGCCTAACAGCATGGCAAGGCGGGGTACAACGGGCCCCTCCCTCTGCAAACCGGTCCGCGCCGCCTGAGTCTAAAAGCAAAAGGTCAAAGGTCAGTGTTCATGGGTCTTCTATGAGCATGAGATGAGAGAAGATCGATCCAGGAAGCAGTTCTCAGAAATACATGCTATTTCAGACAAGTTTATGAAGTATTACTGAATTTCCTAGATCAGGATTAAGACTTATAAGAAGCTTATCAACATAAATATAGTTTCATAGCAGTTTCCATGAATACGATTTAAAGTGCAAACAATTGAGTGTATATTACACTCAACTACTATATAAAGTGCTTCCAGTTTGAACCTTCCCTTAAAAAGGGAAGAATAATTTATATCATGAAAAACATTATTAATGGAAACAAACACCAAAATGCCAACGGTGCTTAATTCCAGCCGAATCTGTTTCCTAAAATAGCTACAAAGAGAGTTTTAGAGATTTGGAGCAAGCGTCTCATGTCATTGGGCTCGAGATCCATTTTCTTGTGGATACAAGACTGTGATTCTGATATAAAATAAAAAAAATAAAAAAAACTTTCAAATTCCAAAGGGAAACAATTACTGCAAATATAGTTATTTCAGTGTTTTTTATTGATTTTAAATCAAGTAACAGTTAAACATTTGAAATATAAATTAATTTGCTTTATAAATTAATAACAAATAATATTTCTATTTATTATTATTATTATTATTATTTATTTGGTCTAATTTGGTCTCATCTGTATCTGCTTTACTGTGATTTATTCTGCCCTACTGTATCTCTTATATGCTCAGTCACTTTGATTTTTTAGATGCTTACTTGTATATCAAACTACATACATTACCATACATTACAAGAAATTATGATAAATGCAGCACTATTATTTATTAGCATCACGTTTTAAGGTTTTACAGTTTATTTTTTTTCTTTAAATCTGTTTTTAAACAGTTTTCAGTTTTTAAATCTTAAGAATGGCACGATGAACACAATTATAGAATTCCAGCTCAACATTTATTCACTTATATGGGTATTTGACATATGTGACAAACTGTACTTTAATGTAAAACTATTTTACATTATGGAATATTGGAAGTATTTGCTATTGACTGTTCAAATGCGGAGTTTTGCGCATCGTGTGTGTGTGCACAAGAGAGAGAGCGTGAGAGAGAGAACAAGAGAGAGAGAGAGGGAGAGGGGGTGGGGGGGTCACATCACAGTGGAGTCAGCTGTCTTAACCGTGGCTTGTGTACTGCACACATACCAGCTTCATCACTGTGTCTGTCACGCGACTCTGTTCCCCTTTCAGGCTCTGTCTTTACATTTATTTTGAAAGATGAAGCTCACGATTATGGTAAGGGGCGTTACATTTCCGACGAGTGCTTGCGGTGTTCGGCCAATCACAATGCACTGGGTCAGCTGGCCAATCAGAGCAGACTGCGCTTGTCAGAAGGAGGGACTTTGTAGAAAACGAAGCGTTTGAGAGAGGCGGGGCATAGAGGACCTACAATAATGTACAGTATTTGAAAAATAATGTGTTGTTTGAACATTAAAGCATGTCAACATATTCTGTTACACCAAATACACAAAATAATGATCTTTAAAAAAGCATCATATGACCCCTTTAAGGCAAAACACTACAGGCAAAATCATTGTTTTTGGGCCAGTTTTGGAATATTTTGCTTTCATAAAATGTCTTTTTTTCAAAGTAATGGCTAGAAAATATGCATAATACAAATTTAAGTGCATATTTTATTACACTTGATCTGTTACTGTTAATTACAAGACATATTTTAAGGCAGTTTTCTCAAAATTAGTTTTATTCTGATGCACTGTGTCTGAAATCTCCACTTCAGTCGCAATTACTTTCTATTTTATTCCTCTCTCTATTTTTAGAGAGGGTTTTGTTCATATAACTTTGCCTGTTTTATACAACATTTTATTCCTGATAACATAGTGAAGATGTAGAATTTTTCTGCCTGTTGTGTTGACAGTATTTTCTGATTTATGGAGTAAGGAAAAGAGATCCAAAACCCCCTCTGTAAATACCTTTTAAATCTAATATGTCAACAAAATGAAACAAGAATATCAACCATGGCTTTATCCAATGTTCAGATTTCTGTTCTGGAAATGTGTGCAAATTTAATTTGATAATGTCTCGTTTGCATATTTAAATATAACATTTCAGAAACAAGTATTACAAAAAGTTTGTCTTAATGTTCTGTGATTAATCAGCTGGGGAAGTATGATGATATTAATATATATATATATATATATATATATATATATATTTTTTTTTTTACCGTATTCACTTCTGCTCTCTTGTTTTAAAGAAATAAACTTGCGAAGGCAAAGGGTAATTGTAAATTGTAAAAAAACAAACAAAAAAGAAATCATGGTAAACTTAGGTTACCACTTATAGCACTCAAAATATACACTCTTTTATACGTTAATTGAAATGTTAACCTAAAATCTTGATGATTGTTGAAATTTAAGTCCATGTTATGCATCTTTGTTTTGGGATTTAATCCTGTGATCTCGTGTTTTTGAATGAATGCAGGTTCTTGGACCTCTTGAATTTAAGATGAAGAGACGGGCACAAGCATCAGACGAGCCTCTGAAGAAGAGGAAGGCTGTCCGTGAGGACTCCTCTGATGAAGATGAGGAGTCTTCTCAAAGAACCACCAGTCAGGGTTAGAGAGGAGTTTCCTTATGGCACTTTACACTGTGATGTTCGCGTGTCCACATACTTAGATTATACAGTGTAAGTTTCTGTAAGCGTGTCCCATTTTTTGTCTCCCAGACTCAAGTCAGAGTGAGTCTCTCAGCGATGTTGAGGACCACAAACCCAGTTTCTCCAGGCCTTCTAATTCCCAGAATGCCGAGGGCAACGATGCCTCTTCTGAAGCCTCTTCCAATTTTTCTATGTATAACAGAGTCTCTCAGAAACTCATGGTAAAATAAGCACCTCCTGTTATTCATTTTACTGTCTTGTCAGCCTGTTACATGCATATTAACACATTAAAATGGTCTCCTCCTCTCCTTCCTTCAGGCCAAAATGGGTTTCAGAGAAGGCGAGGGTTTGGGAAAGTTCGGTCAAGGGCGGAAAGAGATCGTAGAAACATCGACCCAGCGTGGGAGGCGAGGTTTGGGTCTGACCCTGAAGGGCTTCCAGGGTGACCTCAATGTAGACTGGCAAGATGAGCCGGAGGTACGCCAACATTTCCAACAGTGTTCTTCAGTTTTAAAACAGAAACCTTAGTAGTCCAGGACCATTATTTCTCCCTCATCTAATTTTTACTCTCAGCCAAGTGCTTTAGAATCAGTGACGTGGTTTCCAGAAAGTTCTCCAGAGATCCCAGATGCAGATGAGCTGAAGGACTGGATGACTATGGGCCAGGTATTGCAGCACATATTACCTGATGAACTGAAATGATTTGTTTTAGATCAAATGCTTATTCTTTTACGGTAAAAAAAGATTAGTCATCATCTGACTAAAGTTATTTTTGCTCACTTATTTGTTGTCTCTTGTTCACATGGGTCTGTGGTGCAAACAGTGTTTTATAAATATTAGCTTGACTAATAAACCTCTGCATCTCATAATTGGCTACAATAAAGACCTCACCAACTGTAAATGGGTAGTTGACATGAAAATGCATGCCATGCTGTTTTTCATTTAAACATTTGATCATTCTTTTACAATTATTATATGCTGGGTTCCCTTCCAAATGTTTCCCATTTTTGAAGCACATTTCCATCTTATTTATCTGCATTTTGACTCCAGAAATTTCACCTCAGCCTAGTGCGCATAAATGCATATCAAGTGCTGCCATGTTTTCTTTAGTAAAAATTCAAAATTTGCATGAAAATTATTTAGATTGAAACCCACTTCTTCATGCCACTTTTATGACCTTGTATGATTTAAGAGATTAAATCAAATGTTTGTACTTTTATAAATTAATCTCTCATACTGTAGTACTGCCATGCTGTTTTTCATTTAAACATTTGATCATTCTTTTACAATTATTATATGCTGGGTTCCCTTCCAAATGTTTCCCATTTTTGAAGCACATTTCCATCTTATTTATCTGCATTTTGACTCCAGAAATTTCACCTCAGCCTAGTGCGCATAAATGCATATCAAGTGCTGCCATGTTTTCTTTAGTAAAAATTCAAAATTTGCATGAAAATTATTTAGATTATTTTAGATTTTTTACCTGTTACAAAAAAGGGAAATTAAAATGGTGAGAAATAATGTGACAAGTTATAGTATGTAAAATGTATGCTTTCCCCTTTTTTTCACATTAATATAAATTCCCTAATACACTATGCTCAAAAGTTTGGGATTGGTTAGATTTTTTTTTTTAAATGTTGTTTTTTGCTTGTTGAAAGAAGTCTCTTATGTTCACCAAGGCTGCATTTAAAGAGTAATATTGTGAATTAATTACAATTTAAAATAACAGTGTTTTATTTTAAAATGTAAAAAAAAAAAAAAAAAAAAGCTAGACTGTTTCTCCAGTTTTCAACGATCATTCAGAAATCATTCTAATATGCTGATTTGTTGCTCAAGAAACATTTCTTATTATTATCAATGAGGAAAACAGTTGTGCTGCTTAATGTTTGTGTATATACTGATACATTTTTCATTCTTTGAATAGAAAGTCCAAAATAATAGCATTTATTTGAAAATAAATATCTTTAATATCTTTCTATAAACATGTTTACTATCACTTTTGATCACTTTAATGTGTCTTTGCTCAATAAAAGTATTAATTTCTTTAAAAACAAAATCTTAATGAATCTGAACTTTTGAACGGTAGTGTACATTCATATAAAAATGTTGTTTATCAGCTTTCCATGTTTATACCAATACCTATGCTTATATTTTTAGAAAAAATTAAAAATTGATGATGAAACGGAATTTTGCTCTGAGAATCTACTGCATCTCCTTCTTCGCTGCAAAGTGAGTGTGTCAGACATTTCTTATGTTTCTCCAGTCTTGCATAAGACCAAAACACATAGTGCTCTGTGTCTTGTAATAATGTAACACGTCATTTTATTTGTATTTCTTTTCAGACTGTGTTTGATAACTTGGAGGGGGAGGAGATGAGGCGAGCGCGTACTCGGTCAAACCCTTATGAAACAATCCGAGGGGCTTTCTTTCTCAACAGGTGGGTGGCGTCTCCACATGCATACAATGTAATAAGAGAAGCATATCTTTTCTAAATTTCTTTCTCTGTTTTCTCCTCAGAGCTGCTATGAAGATGGCGAACATGGATCATGTTTTTGACTATATGTTCACTAACCCAAAGGATTTTCAAGGGGTGAGACCACAGTTACACAAGCTGTGGCATTATGGATTGAAATAAGTGCTGTAATTAAATTTCTGAATTGGATGTCTGTGTGTGTAGAAGCCCCAGACGCGTGATAAGGATGGTGAGTTGCTGTATTTTGGAGACGTATGTGCAGGACCAGGAGGATTCTCAGAGTATGTGTTGTGGCGGCGGCACTGGCATGCGAAAGGTTTCGGGATGACGCTCAAAGGAGCCAACGATTTCAAACTGGAAGATTTCTATGCTGCTCCCAGCGAGCTCTTTGAGGCCTATTATGGTATGCATGAACAAAAAAACAACAATCTAACATTTTTACTGTATCGATTAATGTAGAAATACACAACAAGGCAGCACAAGGGCTGCATAATAATTTGCTCTGTCTTTTTAAGAAAAGATTGTAGTGATATGCCAGTCATTTTTTAGAGAAAGCTGGATAATGTGTTGTTTTTCAGACAAAAATTCTTAGTGTAGCAGTTTTGAGGAGTATGAAATAAAATCAAATGTAAAAAATAGAGAGTGCAAAAGTTTGGCCACCCTTTTCAATTGTGGTGATTCGAATACCTGTAGTCACTTAATGCTGATTGATTGCAACTCAAAATTGATTTGAATGGCTCAATGAACATTAGACTGAAAACACAGGTGCTACCACACTGCAAAAAATGGCTTATCTTACTTTACTATTTTTGTCTTGTTTCTAGTCAAAATATATATTAAAAAAATTCTTAAATCAAGATACTTGTACTAAATAAGCCAGTTGACTTAAGATATTTTAGGAAACGAAATTAAGTGCATTTTGCTTAAAACAAGTAAAATGATCTGCCAGTGGGGTAAGTAAAATATTCGTAAAACAAGAGTATTTTACTTACCCCACTGGCAGATCATTTTACTTGTTTTAAGCAAAATATAAGATAAAAGATAAGCCATTTTTTGCAGTGCAATCATGAAAAAGGGTATTCAAGGTGTGCTTCTCTTTGCTTCTCTACTGGTAAGTAGCAACATGGGAACCTCAAAAGAACTCCCTAAAGACTTAACTAGGATAATTCATCAATATCAATTAGGAGAAGGATACAAAAAGTTATCACAAAGGTTTAAGGTCTCCACAGTCAGAAATATAGTTAGAAAATGGAGGGCCACAGGAACAGTCCTTGTGAAGGAAGGTAGGCCGAGAAAAATATCTGAAAGGCGAAGAATGGTGAGAATGGTCACAGACCACCTCCAAAGAGCTCCAAGAACATCTTGCTGCCGATGGTGTCGTTGTACATCGTTCCACAGTCCAGCGTACTTTGTACAAAGCACAGCTCAATGGAAGGGGGATGCGGAAAAAGCCTTTTCTGCGTACTGCCAACAAGCAGTCTTGTTTGAGGTATGCAAAGGCTCATCTGGACAAGCCAGAATGATTTTGGAATAATGTGCTGTGGACAGATGAAACTAAGATAAGAGTTATTTGGTCACAACCAAAAGCGCTTTGCATGGGCGGAAAATGAACACCGCATTCCAGGAGAAGAACCTGCTCCCTACTGTAAAATTTGGTGGAGGATCCATCATGCTATGGGGATGTGTGGCAAGCACAGGTACTGGAAACCTTGTCAAAGTTGAGGGTCGCATGGATTCCACCCAGTATCAGCAGATTCTTAAGAAGAATGTTCAAGAATCAGTCAAGAGGTTGAAGTTACAATGGGGTTGGTTATTTCAGCAGGACAATGATCCAAAGCATTGTTCCAAATCTACCAAGGAATTTATGCACAGATACAGTGTTCTAGAATGGCCATCCCAGTCCCCAGACTTGAACATCATCGAAAATCTATGGAATGATTTGAAGTGGGCTGTCCATCTTCAGAAACCATCAAACCTGACTGAACTGGAGACATTTTGCAAGGAAGAATGGTCCAAAATACCTGCAGCCAGAATTCAGGGACTTATCAGTGGCTATAAGAAGCGTCTACAGGCTGTTATTTCGGCAAAAGGAGGCTCTACTAAATATTGATGTAATTATTCCATTGGGGTGCACAAAGTTTTGCACCTGTCTGTTTTTGTTATGACTCGCATTGCATTGTTTCTGTTGAATCAATAAATGTTATTTCAGAACTGAAATGTTACTGTTTCCATAAGGTGTCAATTATATCCAAATGAAGTTGCTGCTTCGAAAGCCCAGCAGATTATAAACTTAAATTATGATAATTACCAGGGGTGCCCAAACTTCTGCATAAAACTGTATTAAAGGGGTGGTTGATGAGCTTTTTTTCGAAAGCTTGATTGTGTTTATGGGGTGCAGTGTAATGTGTTCATGCTTCGTTAAAAAAAGTAAAACGCATTATTTTCACACATTTTACCTTTATTCTACACCACTGTTTCCATTCTCGTTAAAACGGTCTGTTGAGTTCCTGGTTCTATGAAGCCCCTCCCTCAGAAATACGCAATGGGCTCAGATTGGTTAGCGGGCTCAGTGTGTTTGTGATTCGCTCGTGTTTGTGTGTGCTGTCTGCATAACTCATAGTACGGGCGTATATCGAACATTTTTTCTATCGTTATCGCAGAAGGTATACCATCGATAAATATCGATACCGTTTTATCGCCCAGGCCTAGATTCAGACTACATTTTTTTTAATGTTGTGTGCTTGCTGTGATTCAATAGAAAGACTTTACTGTGTGTGCTATTATTTTCTCTATTTGTCTCATTACATTCAGTTCAAGCTTGCAAACACACTTTTTTTATTTAATTTAATCTAATTGCAGATACACTATTTGGTAAGATTAGTTTTTATCTGCTCTGTAGATAGTTGTGAAACTCTGGAGTTAATTGGTAGTTCAAATTGGATTGTGTTCATTTGAGATTAGCAGTTTTATTCCATAGATGTTTGAATGGAGGTCTGGATTTTTATGGACCACCATTTTTGGGGATTTTTGCGTATGATTTGGCCATTTTCTTATTGAAAGATGAGTTGTTGTCTTGGTTAAATTACTCAAAATCCTTGTTTTCCTCAAGGATGTTTTTGGTTTCACTCAGTCTATTTTTTTCCCCTTCCTCTTCATGAGTTTTCGTTCCCCTGATGTTGAAGAAGTATCATTAAAACTTTATCGTGCTCCACTCTAGGGACGTTCGACATCAGTAGTGCATCTTCTATCTTTGTCATGGAACACTGTATCTTCTTTTGGCTTACCATAGGTCTCATGGTTTTTCTTCAGTCCCAGACACTCAGTTTTGGAGGACAGCCAGTTCTTTAACAGCGGCTCCAAATAATCTCATCTCTTTAATGATGTCTTTCTCAAGGCTTTGAAGATTATTTAATGCCTTTTCTTGCCTTGATATTATTGTACAGCCTCTTGTCTCAGATCTGTTTGGATTTTATCTTGGGATGCACCCAGACAAGTCTATTTATTCTGAAATCCTAATTAGGAAGGTAATTATGTGACTGAGTGAAGACTTGGTTACTTGAGAGCTCATTTTAGCTGTATCAAATCAACGGTAATACTTTTAACGGTTCTAGCATTGAAGAGCCATATTTTAAAACCTTTCTAGAGTACATCCTTTTTTTTTATTTTTTATTTTATTTTATTTTTGGAAGTCCACTTTTTTTAGTCAAAAGTTTGTACGTTTAGTTTTACATGAACATTTTTCTATTGTTTCTCTTTAATTTTTTATTTGAACAGGCTTTTTTTGTTACTGTGCCTTTAAAATTATATAAATGAGCTATGTTGTGATTGGTTGTTTTCAATTATATGGTCTATTTAAATAGATGAATATTAATTATTTAAACACTTTTGCTTCAACTTCTCAACTCAAAATCTTTCTGTTTTACAGGAGGCCATTTTGTGTGCAAGACGTTTGACCTGTTCACACCGTTCAGCGTGGGCTTGATTTATTTGCTCTACCTCTGCTTCGAGAGGGTCTCGCTGTTCAAACCCGTCACCAGCCGGCCTGCCAATTCAGAGAGGTTTGTGTTCATCGTCCATGACTCACTTTGAGAGCGTGAGAGAGCTCCTGGCAATGGACACTGAAACTTCTATATACCTGGGTTTCTCTGTTCAGCATATTAATATATACTTTTTTTCTTGACTTGAAAATGCAGAAATTGGCTGAAACTTCAATGCTATATTTTATTTTTTATTTACACTACCAGTCATAAGTTTGGAATAAATACGATTTTTAATGAAAGAACTAGTCTCTTATGGTTTATATACACTACTGGTCAAAAGTTTGGGATCAGTAAGACATGTAATGTTTTTTAAAGAAGTCTCTTATGCTCATCAAGGCTGCATTTATTTGATCATAAATACAGGAAAAAACAATAATTTTGCAAAATGTTATTACAATTTAAAATAATGATTTCTATTTTATTATACTTTAAAATATAATTTATTTCTGTGATGCAAAGCTGAATTTCCATCAGCCGTTACTCCAGTATAAAGTGTCACATGATCCTGCAGAAATCATTTTAATATGCTGCTTTATTATTATAATTATCAATGTTGGCAACAGTTGTGCTGCCAAATATTTTTTGGGAAACTCCGATATTTTTTCAGGACTCTTTAATTAATAAAAAGTAAAAAAGAACAGCATTTATTCAAAATATAAATATTTTCTAACAATATAAATCTTTGCTATCACTTCTTAACAATTTAACACATCCTTGCTGAATAAACGTTTTAATTTCTTTCAAAAAAAGAAAGAATAAAAATGTACTGACCCTAAACTTTTGAACTGTAGTGTATATTGTTAGAAAAGATTTCTATTTTAAATAAATGCTTTTCTTTTTATCAAGGAATCCTGAAAAAAAGTATCACAGGTTCCCAAAGAAATATTTAGCAGCACAACAGTTTCCAGCACTGATAATAAATCAGCATATTAGAATGATTTCTGAATGATCATGTGACACTTTATACTGGAGTAATGGCTGATGGAAATTCAGCTTTGTCATCACAGGAATAAATTACATTTTGAAATATATTAAAATAGAAAATGGTTATTTTACATTGCAATAATATTTCACAATATTGCTGTATTTTTAATCAAGTAAATGCAATCTTGGTGACCATAATTATTCTAAACATTTGGCTAGTAGTGTATGATTCATTGTTTGTTTTTATTGATTCTATTGATTATTGATTTTTTTTTTTTTAGATCAATTCCGATATATTTGCACTGGCATAGTGGGACTTTTTTAATAATAAAACTGTAAAACTCAAAATTTTACCCTATTTATTTAGTTTAACGCACATTCCTGGTCTTATTGTACACACTATTATTATTATTATGCTTATACAGAAAAAGTAAAATGTTTGAGTAACGTCACATTATTATGTTACAATTGATTATTGAGCATGTGAATGATTTTTACTGCTGTCTGCTTGCAGATATGTGGTGTGCAAGAGTTTAAAGCCAGGCACCGATGCTGTCAGAGAATACATGTTCACCATCAACCTGAAACTGAATCAATTCAGACACTCAGACAGAGACGTTACTGAAGTCGTCCCTCTGGACATCATTAAAGGAGACACTGACTTCTTCCAATTCATGATCAACTCCAATGAAAGGTACCGTCATTGCTTTATGACCCTTTTTTTTGGTCTTTCTCTCTGGCTCTCTCGATGCATTCATTCATGCTTAGGTTTATTTATTGAACTCTGATCCCTTGTCTTGCAGCCATTGTGCAGTACAAATCAAAGCGCTGGCTAAGATCCACGCGTACGTCAGAGATACGTGAGTCACACATTCTTCCTCTGGTGTGTTTCAGGGCATTCATCTCAAACTTTCTTTTATTTGTTTGTGTGCACATGTCTGTAGTGTTTGTGTGCACATGTCTGAGTCTGTATAAGCATCACTAACAATGCTGTGTGTCTTTGTAGGACACTGTTTGAGCCCAGGCAAGCAGACATCCGCAAAGAATGTCTCAAACTGTGGGGGGTGAGTCCAAAAACAATAACCACGAGCTTCATAGTGGACTGAGGTTTAGTTTAGTGCTTTGTGGTGGTGTCTGAAAGATTTCAAAGAGCATTGTTTTGTGTAGGTATGTGTAAGGACAAACTGATGCCGATTAGAATGATTGAGACCTTGAACGTCTTCATCTTTGTGCAGATTCCTGATAAAGCCAGAGTCACTCATCCAACATCAGATCCGAAAGCAAAGTTCTCTGAGCTCGTGAAGGTAATAGTGTGTGTGTGGGCTTTGAGAAGTTAGCTGGGAATGTGGTAATGCTCTTGTGGATGTGATGTTCTAGAATAGAAGAGTTAAGTGGGTGAATCACATGAAGTCTATTTTAAATAAATGCTTTTCTTTTTATCAAGGAATCCTGAAAAAAAGTATCACAGGTTCCCAAAGAAATATTTAGCAGCACAACAGTTTCCAGCACTGATAATAAATCAGCATATTAGAATGATTTCTGAATGATCATGTGACACTTTATACTGGAGTAATGGCTGATGGAAATTCAGCTTTGTCATCACAGGAATAAATTACATTTTGAAATATATTAAAATAGAAAATGGTTATTTTACATTGCAATAATATTTCACAATATTGCTGTATTTTTAATCAAGTAAATGCAATCTTGGTGACCATAATTATTCTAAACATTTGGCTAGTAGTGTATGATTCATTGTTTGTTTTTATTGATTCTATTGATTATTGATTTTTTTTTTTTTAGATCAATTCCGATATATTTGCACTGGCATAGTGGGACTTTTTTAATAATAAAACTGTAAAACTCAAAATTTTACCCTATTTATTTAGTTTAACGCACATTCCTGGTCTTATTGTACACACTATTATTATTATTATGCTTATACAGAAAAAGTAAAATGTTTGAGTTACGTCACATTATTATGTTACAATTGATTATTGAGCATGAGCATTAGTGAATGATTTTTACTGCTGTCTGCTTGCAGATATGTGGTGTGCAAGAGTTTAAAGCCAGGCACCGATGCTGTCAGAGAATACATGTTCACCATCAACCTGAAACTGAATCAATTCAGACACTCAGACAGAGACGTTACTGAAGTCGTCCCTCTGGACATCATTAAAGGAGACACTGACTTCTTCCAATTCATGATCAACTCCAATGAAAGGTACCGTCATTGCTTTATGACCCTTTTTTTTTGGTCTTTCTCTCTGGCTCTCTCGATGCATTCATTCATGCTTAGGTTTATTTATTGAACTCTGATCCCTTGTCTTGCAGCCATTGTGCAGTACAAATCAAAGCGCTGGCTAAGATCCACGCGTACGTCAGAGATACGTGAGTCACACATTCTTCCTCTGGTGTGTTTCAGGGCATTCATCTCAAACTTTCTTTTATTTGTTTGTGTGCACATGTCTGTAGTGTTTGTGTGCACATGTCTGAGTCTGTATAAGCATCACTAACAATGCTGTGTGTCTTTGTAGGACACTGTTTGAGCCCAGGCAAGCAGACATCCGCAAAGAATGTCTCAAACTGTGGGGGGTGAGTCCAAAAACAATAACCACGAGCTTCATAGTGGACTGAGGTTTAGTTTAGTGCTTTGTGGTGGTGTCTGAAAGATTTCAAAGAGCATTGTTTTGTGTAGGTATGTGTAAGGACAAACTGATGCCGATTAGAATGATTGAGACCTTGAACGTCTTCATCTTTGTGCAGATTCCTGATAAAGCCAGAGTCACTCATCCAACATCAGATCCGAAAGCAAAGTTCTCTGAGCTCGTGAAGGTAATAGTGTGTGTGTGGGCTTTGAGAAGTTAGCTGGGAATGTGGTAATGCTCTTGTGGATGTGATGTTCTAGAATAGAAGAGTTAAGTGGGTGAATCACATGAAGTCTGTAATGTCAGGGTCATAATAAAAAGGAAACAAAATAAATTATATTTTTTTGTTAAAAAAATTGTAAAAGTTTTTTGGATGTTTTCCAATGACATAATTGATTTTTTTTTTAATTGTACAGTTTAAGTTTACTGTGAAGAAAATGTACTGTACTAAATTAGTTTCATTTTATCTAAAATAAATATTTTACAAAATATTTTAGAATCTAAAATGGCTGTAAAATCTAAATATATCTAAGTGAGTTATGTTCCAAATTTGAAGTTGATATCACAAAAATTAAGGTTCTTGTGAGGTTTTTTGTATTTTCCTGTCACAAATTTATAGAGTTCTCTCACAATATTACTTCTGTTAATTGGAATCTTGAGACTCAGACCTTTCCAACGATATGTGTTCTGTCAAGATTAGAAAATATTTTGATTATAAAATACTGTATTGTGTTCCATTCAATAGATTCTTAAAATCTTTTTACTTAGTCTTACAAAGATCTTAAAAAGTCTTACGTTTACCTTTATAAAACCTGCAGAAATGCTGTTTAAAAAAAACAACTTTCAATTAACGTCAGTATTTTTTGTATACAGTTATTATATTCTTATATTATTAGCGTTATATTTCCCATTGGATATCTTGTCCTCCAGATATGATTGATATTTTGACCTCACATATCAGCTTTAGTTGCTTTTGATTAGGGTTTATCATCAAAATGCAAGAATTTTTTTTGGGTGCAGAATCCAGATGGCGGAGAAGTTTGTGAAAGCTGTGTCCAAACCCAGCAGGCCAGACATGAACCCCATCCGGTAATATACCTTTCGCTTTGCGGTTGTGCTAATTGCTATGTCAGTGACAGCCCGGGGGGCCAGGAGGTCCTATGAACACCGGAGGGTGCAGTATGTAAAATTAATGAAGATACTGTGTATTACTAGAGTCTAGACAGGATCTTTCATGTTTATGATGATACTGCAAGTCAGTATGCTTGCTGTTTCAGCCTCATTCATTCATTTTCTCTCTCTTTTATTTTTTAGTGTGAAGGAAGTGTATAGGTTAGAGGAGATGGAGAAGATCTTTGTGAGGTGCGTTCCACCATTAGATTATTATTATTATTATTATTTTAATTTTATATGACTATTTTACTTAATATTATTTTTATTTTTGTTCCTCAGGTTGGAAATGAAGGTAACCAAGAGCTCGGGAGGGATGCCAAGACTGTCATACACGGGCAGAGATGACCGTCACTTCCTCCCCAGTGGCCTTTACATCATCAAAACAGTTAATGGTGAGAGAGAGGGAGGAAATAATAAGGATAATATTAGTGGAGTGCCTTGTTAAAGATGAATTTGTCAAATATTTTATCTCTTTTTGACAGACCCTTGGACAATGGCGTTCAGCAAAAGTTCTAAAAGGAAGTTTTTCTACAATAAACAGACCAAAGAATCAACTTATGCACTGCCGCCTGGTTCTGTGGCACCTTTCCAGTAAGTATTAAAGTGCCAATATGAAGTAATCCTGCATGACTTGCACTGCACTGGCAACCAATTTTGGATTGAAGCCCTGAGCAGGAAAATTACATTACATAGCTTGAATTTTCAAGAAGATATTGAATACTGACCTCTATGCAGCATCTGACCTTCAAAGAAACAAGTATCTCTCTAAACCCCCAGCATCCTTTTTAATGTCTTTTTTAATCATATTGCATTTTTCTCAAATACTGTTTGGTTATTGCTTTGTAGTCTCATTAAAGGAATGTTCTGGGTTTAAAACAAGTGGCATGCTGCGGCGTGCTTTCGATAACAATGGAAAATAGTTTTGTTGTTTATAGATACAAACAGAAGTCATGTTTATAGTAATGTACTATGAATCAAGGCATTCCAAAACATAAATGTGCAACTATTGTTTAAACATTTAAAATAATTCTTTCACAAAAATGTGTTATGTGAGCTTAAAATTGATCTGAATTGTCCTTTTAGCAAATAATTAAATGTGTAATTGAATACATAGATTACTGTTCAAAAGTTTGGGATTGGTAATTTTTTCTAATGTTTTTGAAAGTCTCTTATGCTTGCCAGGGCTGCATTTATTTGATGAAAAAATACAGTACGAACAGTAATATTATTAGTTTAAAAGAACTGTTTTAATGTCATTTAAAATGTAGTTTATTCCTGTAATGGCAAAGCTGAATGTTCATTTCTCCAGTCTTCAGTGTCACATGATCCTTCAGGAATCAGTGTAATATGCTGATTTGCTGCTTAAAGGGTTAGTTCACCCAAAAATTAAAATTAGGCTGTGTTTTACTCACCCCAGAGGCATCCTAGGTGTATATGACTTTCTTCTTTCAGACGAATCCAGTCGGAGTTATATTAAAAATTGTATTTGATCTTTCAAGCTGTTTCATGGCACTCAGCGGGTGTTGCATTGCTTCTGTCCAAAAGAGCTTAAATAAAAATCGCCCATCCATAAAATAAAGTGTCTCAAACGGCTCTGGGGGGTGAACAAAGACCTTCTGTAGCGAATCGATGCGTTTTTGTAAGAAAAATATCCATATTTAAAACGTAATAATCATTTGAATCTAGCTTGCGCTCACTGTTGTAAACAGAAGCAGTTCCGGGGGAATGACGTATGAGGTCGGCTTTGCGCATGCTCTGCTCAGAAGTGACGAACGCGGAAGCGCAGGGGAGAGATCAAGACAAAACAACGGTCACTAATTAGAAGTACAAAATGAGGATTTGTAAAGAAGAATGTCGGAGGATTTCGATATAAGCCAAGAGGAGATTGGTTTTCCTTTGCTAAAGTAAGGAAACTTTACTTCTTTTGATCCTGTAAACAAACGCTGGTTTTCACGAGACTCACCGGCGCATGCGCAGCACTGAACTCATACGTCATCAGCCCGGAGCTGCTTCCGTGTACAACTGTTGGCGCAAGCTACATTAAAGTGATTATTACGTTTTGAATATGGATATTTTTCTTACAAAAACGCATCGATTCACTACAGAAGGCTTTTGTTCACTCCCCGGAGCCGTGTGAGACTTTTTTTTATGGATGGGCGATTTTTATTTAAGTTCTTTTGGACTGAAGCAATGCAACACTTGAGTGGCATTAAACGGCTTGAAAGATCAAAGACCATTTTTAATATACCTCGACTGGATTCGTCTGAAAGAAGAAAGTTATATACACCTAGGATGACTCGGGGGTGAGTAAAACACAAGCTAATTTTCATTTTTGGGTGAACTAACCCTTTAAGAAACATTTCTTCTTATTATAAATGTTGAAAACAGTTGTGCTGCTTTATATTTTTGTCTAAACATTTTTTTCCAGGACTCTTTGATGAATAGAACTTTCAAAAGATGAGCTTTTATTTGCAATTTTGTAAGTGTAAAGGCCCGTTCACACCAAGCACGAAAACTATAAAGATAACGATAACGATATAGTTCTAAAATTCGTTCTCAATATTAAAGAATAGCATAGTTCACACCACAACTATAACGATAACGATACAGAGGAACGATATCATTGTGATCACTTTCAAAAAGATTTTTTTCCAGCTGATGAACGATAAAACACTGACAGCAATCAGAATCCATCCTGCTGTAACGAGCTCAAGAATTTAAAGTGGCAGACGCGCGTGCGCTTAGAATAAACAGACGATATCGTTCGCTGGTGTGGACGCTAATATCGTTATCTTTATAGTTATCGTTCTTGGTGTGAACGGGGCTTAAGTCTATACTGTCGTTTTTGATCTTTTTAATGCACCCTTGCTAAAGGTGTTAATTTCTTAATTTAAAAAATCGTACTGACCCCAAACTTTTGAACTAAGTGTAATTTAGTGGATTCTCATTCATAAATCACATGTATGCTTTCTTATTTCGTAACATTATTTGTTTGTTTCTCTCTATTCTTCTGTTTCTCAGTGCATGTCATCAAGACAGGCTGTTTTGGGCTTGGGAGGAAGGCGTCCGAGTTCACGACTCCCAGACGCGGGTCAACCCCGACAAACTGTCTAAAGACGACGTGCTTTCCTTCATCCATCAGCACTGTCAACAATGAAAACACACGTACACATTGCAATCACACTAAGGAACATAGCACAGACTGTACATTGTCCTCGCCACCAGGGGGCACTGTAGCTTTTACGAGAGTCCGCTGAGAAACATTCAAACTCTTCACACTTCAAGGCTTTCTCCAAAATAGCCCCTGTGAGTTAGAGGACAGGGTGTCTTGGTGCTCGATGGTGTGTATCTGCGTGTCCGTTATCTTCAGAGGAGCAAGAAACTTAGATGACATTGCTTTTCCCTTGTCCACATGTTTTTCTCCTGAGCTTTAAAATCTGCTTCCTCACATGAATTATTCCCCCACTAATCGATCGGATGTGTAGCTGCACATTCTATTCATCAGTGTAAACCAGAAGATAACCATGTAAAACAGCATGACAGTGTGCATTCGCTCTACTGTGTGCATGTGTTGCCTTGTTTTTCTCATTTTTATTTAGTTTCTTTCAGCGTTTAAAAATCTTAGACTGGGTATTGCCATTTCTGATGATCTTGGAAGAGGATTTGAATTTTAAACCTGTTCGTGATGTTGATTAGATTAAACCACTGAGGAAGTTTATTCCTTGAGTAATTGTGGTCTGCTTCATTATTCGTCTCTAATGAGTTTAAAGTCACAATGAAATAGAAGTAGCGACAGATGTTTTCTTATGTGTAATGGCTTACCGAAAAAGAAAAAACGAAGGGCGGTGGGACTAGACTCTATTCATCGGTTGTTGATTGAATTTTAAGATGTGGGTGTGACATTTGAAAGCTGTGTTTTTTTTTGTTTTAGTTTTTTCAACAAAAGCTAGGAGACCAAGACGAACGTAACATTCGATTTTATGCTCCATTGTAGGAAAAGAAAACTGTGACTGAAGATTTGGAGCTGTGACCTCTGCTGATAACACACTTCGTTTGTTTCTGCTTGCATTGAGAATCCACACAATCTGGAAGAGCAGACTGTCTGAATGAAGTGTTTGAACAATGAAAACTTACAAACGCCAGAAGAGAACTAGATTTGGGGG